GCTGCCCTCTGATTGCTTTCACCTCCTCCCATGCTTTCCTCAGTTTCTGTTCCAGGATCTGTACCATCAGCACCCTAAAAACCCCACATAAATATAATATGACTTAGCACTAAACAACTTGGAGGCTGTAAAGAGAATATAAAAGCAGTACAAGAGTATTCAGAAAGTAAACAAAGTAAAATATATGAAAATCTTAAAATATTTCTGCTAATATCTGCAAAATCAGACAAATGTATACAACTGTGACATTTCAGAAGTTTTATGTATCTATACATGCACGAATGTGAAGTACACAGCCATCGTCATTTTATAACAGACAATGACATATCCAGCTTTTGAAGAAACTGCCTTACTAGCTTGGCAACTAACAGTATTTGTGGCTGGCTCCTGTACTTTGTGTTTTCATTCTGTTCTCAAACATTAAAAGTTGATTTTTCTCATGAATACACCAGTTATAACAGAAATTAATATCACCTACTAGCAGCCTCACATCTCTGTGATGAATTCACACTAAGATTTTCTTTCAAGTATCCAGAACTGTGCAGATGCATAACACCACCAATTTATTCCAAGAAATGTAGCAAGCTAGAAATAAAAAGTATAAATCTCACCTCAGCATCATCTGCTTCATATCCGTCATTACCATCAGCACTACCAGTTCCTTCATTACTGTCATCACCTTCATCTCCCATTCCTGTGTCTTCATCATCATCCTCATCTTCCTCTTCCTCATCCTCATAGTCCTATAGGACCATAAAAAAAGCCGTAAGGAAGCGTGGCTATTAGGATAGTGGAAAAATTTCAGATCTTGAAGTGGCACACTTCACGTTGTGGTACACAGACCATGTCCGTCTGTGGCTCTCTTTTGAAGATGTTCAACATTTATTAACCACAGTGTACTTGTACATATTTACTGATTGCTGTGGTAGGTTTACCTTGGCTGGGTGTCAGATGCACCCAGCCACTGCCTCACTCCCTCTTCAACAGGACAAGGGTGAAAAGTAAGATGGAAAAGCTTGAGGATCAAGACGAAGGCAGGCAGATCACTTACCAATTACCATTACAGGTAAAACTGACTCAAGTCAAGGAAAATTAATGTGTTACCAATTAAAAAATAGAGAAACAGACTAGAACACCTTCCCGCCATCCCTTCTTCCCAAGCTCAACTTTACTCTCTCCTTCCTATCTCCTATTCCTCCTCCTCCACCCCAAGGAGGGCAAAGGGGACAAGGAATGGTGGGTTGTGGTCATTCCACAACAGTTTCTTTCAGCTACCCCTTTCTCCTCCAGTGTGGATCTTCTCTACAGACTGCAGTCCTTCAAGAACTACTCCAGCAGTGGGTCCTACCCACTGAATGGCTGCAATTCATCAGGATAAATGTGCCCCCGCACTGGCTCCTCTCCATGGGCAACAGTTCCTGGCAGTAAAGCCTACTCCTGCATGGGCTGCAGTTTCCTTCAAGGAATATACTGCTCTCCACAGGCTGCAGAGAAATATCTGCTCGACTGTGGTCTCTTCCACTGCAAGAAGTATCTGCTTCAATGACTGGAGCACCTTCTTCCCCTCATTCTTCTCTGACCTTGGTTTTTCCAGGATTGTTTCTCACACTCCCTCCCCCTCCTCACACTAACACTGCCATGCAGTGTTTTAGCCTTTCTTTATATGTGTTTTCCGCAGCTGATGGGCTCAGCTGTGTCCTGCAGTGGGGCCACTTCAGAGCCAGCAGAAAGAGGCTGTGTCTGGCACAGAGCAGCCTTCAGCCTGTCCTCACAGAGGCCACCCTTGTATGTTGAACAGTCATAGATAATCTAGATGCACCAGAGAATTAAAATAAATAATAATAAACAGAAGTTGAATTAGCAACACTAAGTTCAGGCTACATAAATACAGACTATTTTTAAAAAATAAAAAAAAAAAAAGAAAGAAATTGGTTAAACACTCCTTCCAGATGAGTTTTACATCTGATCAAAAATCATACCTAAAGCAGTTCAGAAATAAATTCCATAATATACATACTTCCTGCTCGCCTTCGTTTTCTTCATCATCATCATCATCATCATCACTATCAATGACAATGACATCATCTCTTTTCGACTGACCATCCTGAGATGAAGTAGTATTTTGCTGATCTGACTGAAGAGGTCCAAGATCTATCGGGATAGACTGGGAAGTTTCTTCACTATCCTCCATGGTAACGTACTCTCCGTGTGTAACACCCTGTAAAAGATAAATTGCCAGAAGAAACAAAATGAAATGCAGCATATACAATTCTTAAAATGTTTTTCAGGGAAGCATCCATTTTATTTCTAAAAGATTCTTGTTTCCATTCCTATTTCTCAACCTCGACCTAATGGAGGCCTGCTGTACAACACAAACATATTTTGTCCTTCATTTTCAAATCTCATCTGGGATGGGTGACACCATTAAGAGTACTGTATTCATATATGATGCATTTGCTTGCGCATCCATAAGCAGCTGCTGCCTCAATGTTTACTCATCTTTAAAAAGTTTTAAATGGTTTCCACTGGAAACCTGCAGGATCTGATTTAAGATTTCACTTCTAAAAATGGGGAGTGGGGGAGAAGGATAGGAGCTATTTCTGCTGAAATGAAGATCGTACTATTTTCAAAATATGCTTACTTCACCAATTGAGTCTTGTGAGTCTTGATTGTATGTTTGAGCTTCAACCTCGCCATCAGTGCTCTCTTCTGCTGTCACTTCCTCCTGAAAGAACATGCATTTTTCTTGTTTAAAACACTCCATTAGCCCTACAGTTTGGTTCTTCAACACACCATTTTTTTTTTACTTAAAAAAAAATTAAAAAAAAAAAAACAAATAAAAACTCTTTACACAGAAAGATCATGGGCAAAATTTTGTTCCTGTTTTACTATTATTCCTTAGCTCTGCTTTTATCTAGCATGTCATTTTTCTCTTTCCTGGAGAAATGCCATTTGCCCATTCAGTCCACTGGGCCTCAGTATCTCCAAATCTTTTCAGGACCATAAAAGAACCCTTAAAGTTTCATATTCCACCTTCATCCTCTCAGCTAATTAAGTGACAATGTTCTGAGACAATTTTGCTCCCTTTTTTGCTATGCAACATCCCTCTTGTACAGTTAATAGAAAACCTTTGACTTCCTTAACATTATTCAGGAGTTGCCTGCTTGAGGTTCTGTCTTAAGTTCATTCCTTCCTTGCAGGACATCTCAATTGTCTCACAGCAACAACTCTGCATGCATCTCCTGTAAGCTTTTACATGGAACTCATCTTTGCTTCATGGCATGCCCTCAAGTATGCTGCATTCTATTCCAGAGTAACTGTAGATAATGGCCTTCCAGACCACACTGGAAAATATTTTAACATTTTCCTCCTCAGTTCCAGGATACGGCCCTCTCTTTTCCATCCTACATTTCACCAAGATTTACATCACTCACTGCAACTGGCATAACCTCTGCCTTTCATGATACCTGAACATAATTGCTTCCTCCCCAATAGATTAAAGTCATGTTAAGAATTAACTGACTTGCTCTTCCCATTAAAATCTTCCAAAGGGACAGATTAAGTAGCAGCACTTTATGTTCTTGCAAACCTCTGGTCCAACTCTCTGTATGTTTCTCAGTTTCTTTGGAAGAGGAACATCCACTGTTTCCTCTGAAATTTGGTCTGAGTTTTCCACAGTGTTATCCTCCTCTTCCTCTCGTGGACGTTTAGACAGTGAAGAACTTGGGGTAGCTGAAACTTAAAAAAGCCTCCCAATTATTTTCAGAACAAAAACCATACAAAACAGAGTATCAAAAGTTGTTTTTTGACTCTGGAAGATCACTTCTTTTTCTGCATTGAATAACAAATGGAATTAGAAAGAATCATCTTGTGCCATTTTCTGGGACATAAAAACAGCAGCCCCTTTTCTTATAAGTCTTATACTCTTGGGACTTAGATTCACAGCCTAATTAACCCCAAACATAATCTTGGGGGTACAACTAAAATATTTTTTCCAACATCTTTGCCTCTGACAAGTGCACCTAAAAGTTGAACAGAGCATCAGCTGGGAAACAAACAAACTAGCAAAAAAGCAGTTTACTGAAGTGTATTCTGGGGAATAACATTCTACACCAAAATCGACACTGTGTAGGAGAAACAAATATGCAACACTGTATCACACTGAGTAGCTTTAGAATTTTTCTCTGTATGTTGTATTCCAGCTTAAGTAGCTTATTTGTGCTTCCTCATGACCTGGCTCTAACACTACCATAGTTTCAGAGGCAGCAAGGTTTAGTGCATTACATCCCAATGCTGCCCTGGATAGATAAGCAAACATGAGGTTTTAGTTTTGTATTTTAAGGAATGCAGCAACAACAGCATTTCAGAGGTACCATTTCTGAAAGTTCAGGAAAGGAGCCTAACCCCAGAAGTCTGTAAAATCTACAATAAATTAAGGGGGGGAAAGAAACCCAAAACCCCAGAAGAGCAAATTCTTTTTCTGAAGTTAGGCCTGGTTTGACAAGGGTCCTAACAGAGCTACTTAAAATGAATTATTCAGAAAGGTAGGCCTATAAAATAAAACCAACCTGTGCCAAACACTGCTGTAGAAGTGGAGGGCCTCTCTATCTGAGAGCTCTGTACAACTTCTACTATGGTGGGGGATGGCTCCTGATTAGCAGGCTCAATCTGAGGATGACTTTGCTGAGTGGGCTGCACAAAAGCAGTCGCCTGTGTCTGCTGCTGAACAGTCAAGATGGGCTGAGAGAGAGATGTCTGAACATTAGGACTGGTGGAACGCACAGACCCACTAGCACTGCCAAAGACTGGAACGTGCTCCACAGGTCCTTCTGATTGCATAGCTGAAAGGCAAACAGTAGCATATTCAACTGTCTTCATATTATCTAGTACAGTTCACATTTCAGAATGCCTTAATTAAGCTGATTTAATGTGTTGCAAATTGAGTTAACATTAATTATACCCATCCTCAACTGAGGAATCATGAACTTTGTTGCAAGAGAAATGGTCACAACAGTGCAATACTGGAAGAGATGCAGGAACAAGAAAACTATCTGAGGTACGTTCAAACTAATAATTACCAAGATTTCAAAGCAAAGATAGCATTTATGATTGCTGTAGATCCTTATACTATACTAAAATGCTTACCTTCCTGAGTCTCCACCTGTGTTGTAGGCATAACTGTGGCTGTTGGTGTAGTGGTAGGATTAGTGACAGTAGCAGGAGTAACCATTGGACGGATACTGGCTCGTGGAGTAGACTTATTCCCAGCCATTGCAGCAGCAGTCACTTTACTTGGAGTTGACACAACAGGAGTTGGTTTAATATTTGCTGTTGGTGGATCTGAAGTGCTAGCACTGAAAAAGAGAATATTGTTTTCATGGTGGTAGTGCAGAAAGCAAATGTTAAAAATACCAAATGTGAATATATTACTGCAGTCACAAATACTGATTTTTAAAGGCTTAAAATTTAAAAGCCTGGCAAGGGAATCATGAATTATCTTCCCAAATTTGTTTACAGATTAAAAAGAAAAACAGACACACTATGCCATCAGTAGCAATTTGTCCAGCTTACAGGTTTGACACATTTCTTCAAAGGTAATCAACTAGAAATCTGTAAGCAGATCAAAAGGAGCAGTGCACAGCTTACACTATTAGCTGTGCTGGGTCCTTATTACAGTGAGTAATACATCTTACATTAGAACTGATTCACTCAATACAGAGCAACATCATCTCCTGGTTGAGACAAAGATCAGCCAAATTTTAGGAGGCATCTTTGAAAGCCTTGCTTTCAAAAGGATGCTACCATAAAAACTGAATGGGAATTTGTTATTTAAACTTAGTAATACAATAAAATTTAGCACTTAATCATTTGACTGTTTTATCTGTTGTTAGAGCTGCCATCTACGTAGTCCATTTCTTATGTCTGAGATTCTTGCACACGGAAGATCCCACCCCAAAACAAAAATGCTTAAAGGTAAAACTGTACAACTTCAAGAACCCTGAAGCTGGAAAACATTTAAAAAACATGCTTCATGTTTCCTAGACACGGTATCCCTGGTGGTTAATAAGACAATTTAATAGCTTAAAAGCTTTATTGATTAGCTGTAGCTGAGAAAACAGAAGTAACAATTACATCAATCAGCATCTTCAAAGTTGCTTAAGAAAAATTGCAGAAAGCCAGTGGTTTACTAAAAAGAAGAGCAACTGGTAAAGACAAAACCAAGAAATGCCAACCACAGAAAAGTCTGCAAAACCCCCAAACCCTTCAACTCACATTCCTCTTTCACCTGAAGCTGGAGTAGACTTGAGTGAGATTTGCCTCTGCTGTTCTGGGACCTATTAAGTGAGAAACAGACTTATCATGCCATATACAAACAAAACAGAGCACGCAATCTGGTAAAATACTGCAGCAACATCTTTAATAACAATCGTTTCTCTAGCAGACTTGTTAGAATACCTAGTCAGACTCTGTGGTTATTACAAATTCTCCAAAACAAATTATACCAGTCATACCAAGAATTTAAACCAATTCAGTAATTGAGACAAGAGCACCTAGAGACCATTATACTGAATGCATGGATAAAAATACAAAAACGCAGGGCAGAGTGCAAACAGTTCAGTTGGCTGATTCACAATGACTGATACAACGTTATGCTTGTTAGCACTGGGAATTCTGACTATGGCAGGAAATGAGTTTTAAATTAAGTTCTGAACCCCTGCTAAAAGCCAACTTGTGCATTTCCAAAACCAGGGGACAGTGGAACCTGAATAAGCGCAGTTTGTTGAGCTCATAGTTAAAGTGTTGGGAGTCCTAAAATAAGAATTTCCATCTGCTATTCAGGATGCTTAGAGAAAACAGCTTCACGTAAAGTAGTCCTGAGCTTTAACTACTGTACACACACAAGTTGGACAGTGGTGCTTGAGTGACACCTACAAGCAATGTAGTCAACTTGTAGTTACAAGCTACAGATTCTCATTCAGCCATGAGACATGCAGCTGTTTTTTCTCTCACACAGCTAGCTAAAAGGATTTTGTACCTTGTTTGTAGACTCTGGTGGCTCATCTCGCTGTTCATGGTGTCGCTCTTGCTGTTCTCTAAGCTCTCTTTCTAGACGGCAAATTCGACCTTCATACTGTGATTTAAGTGCACTCATCCGCACTTCCAATTCAGTCTTCTGCTCTTCTAATGAGCTGCTCTTTTGCTTCCACTCTTCATTTTCTTTTGTTAGCTGTTCTTTTGTACCTAATTAAATAGGAAAGAACTCAGTCCTGCCACTGTGAAGCTGCCTACTGACTTTCTGCATGCCGAATACCTGGCTGTTCTAATACATTAATAAAGTATTTTGAAATCTTAAAATGATTAAGCTATCAACAGAGTATTTGGAGGTAATTTTAACTTTCACATGCCATTTTTATATTTAATTACAATTAAATAAAAATAAAATAATAATGCAATAAATAAACAAAAAGTAGTAGACACAAAAGAACAAGATGCTTTCAGCAAGCTTTGACACCATCATTTCTCTCAACATCAATTAAAAATAAGGAGGCAATATGTTTTGCACCTGTACATTTAGGGAAGACAAGAGGGAAGGGAAGGAAAGAGTTACCTGAGCTGTTAGTAGGGTCAGTCTGCTCAAATCAACAAAAGGATAACAAATGGGTGTTATCAAGCTGGCTTGCGAAAACTAAGCAAAACTTTTTTTACCTCCAGTGTACAGTTCGGTACACGCTTTCATAATCTCCTGAAGGAATCAGAATTTACTTTTTTAGAACAATTCCTATAACATCTGAACTAGAAAAAACTTTTAACTAAATACGAATTAAGCCATATTTTTGTATTTAGCATCCTGTCTAAACACTTTTCTATAGGATAAATCAAAAAACAAACTGAAGACAACATCTTAAGGACAGAAAAAAAAACATACTATACCAGCTAACTGTGCAATTTTCTGCTTGGCGGCAAGCAATGTCTTCCTAGTTTTCTCTTCCTTCTCGGTGATCTGTTGCCTGAGCTGTTCTTCCTGTGTAGTCTTCTCTTGCAGATCTTGATGAAAACGAGCAAGTTCTGATTGTAGCTGTATTATCTGCTCCTGAAGATTTCTAACTTCAGCTTCCTTTTCTGCTATAGACTAGAGAGAAAGCAAGAGAAAGACTGAAAGAGAGAAGTTGCAACTATTGGCCATAACTAGCTACTTCAGCAAACAACGCCCAAGGACCTAGTATTAGCTGGACACTGTATTAAGGTTCAAAGGCTTCTAATCAACAACAGAGGAGTCCAGTCCTCCCTGAAAGTAATAGTTGAGAGAATAGCATTCTCCTTCCCACTTATTCATTCCAAGAAATAATGTGAGAGACTCTACACACAGGATTTAAACTAGGTTTAAGGCCCCTCTCCCAAGGTTGAGGCACAAATAGGTTAACTCACATATTTCTGCGCATAAATGTACACACTCACAGTAAAACACCCTCACATTCGTCGGTTATGCATTTAAGATTGCAGTAGAATACAATACTCTGAAATTGTTCACTGTTCTTAGCTTGTTCACTCTGATCTCACCTTTTGTAAGCTTTCAACCTGAGTCTCCAAAGTCTTTGTCTTCACTTCAGCTTGACTGAGAGTGTCTTTCAGCTCTTGCACTTCCTGCAGAGAAACCTGTTCTTCTTCTTGTTCTACAAAAGACTGAGTTGATGCTTCAGCGACCATCTGAAATATATCAAGTGGTATCGGGCAAAAGGGTACTATCTGATTAGAATGTAATTTTTTTCAGAAGTTTCTTTTGCATGCAAATTGATAGTTCAAAAAGTTCAGGGCAAAACCCAGGAATTCTACTAACCATAAAGTTAAGAATACTGCAAATTATTAAGTTGATACGCAGCTTCTGTTTCATAGCAGCTTGAGCTAACAGCAGAATAAATGGCATCATTTTCTGCTTTTCTCTTCACAGGTAAGTATTCGTACAATATTATACTAATGAAATGTGAAGATCATTAGTTAGATTATATAGATAGATTATATATGACTAAATGAAAACATGTATTTTTTTAATAAGCTTTTTCTTCGCTAAGAAATTCCATTTACCTTATCATGCTGTGCTTTCAGCTCCTCATATTGAGTCTTGTACCTGCGACCAATTTTCTTGACCTGTGTTATTGTTTTCACTTTTTCTTGTATGTCAGCCACTTTAGCATCTAGCTCTTTCTGCAAAGCATCCTTTTCTGTTCTTATTTTAGTTACTTCATCCTTAAGACTCTGAACAAGGTTCTGGCTTGTAGTCAAGGATGCATTAGTTCTAAACAAGAGATTAGAGGAAGATGCAAATGAGATGTTTGAAATAACACATTTCAATATTTCTTTTATGTGATATCACAGGCATTATCTGCAGTGAATTATGTTTTCTAGGATTTTGCAGTACAAACGACGATTTGTAGAATACACGTTACTTTACAATACATTAGAATAAGTTCAGCTAAGACAGCTTCTGAACAATTCTGACAATTTTGCTTGCATATTACCAAGGTACAGTAAGAATATCAAAGGTTTCGTAGTTCCATGGAGACAGTGAAGAAATTACAATTGCACATACAACCTTATTTAAACTATTTTGCTTTGCACAGAACTTGTTAGTAATTGATTCATACCACACCTGGCTATTTCTGCTTTAAGCCTGCCTGTTTCTTCACTCATTTGTTGTATACGCTTTGTGTTTGCCTCCTTCTCTGACAGCAGCTTCCGATACTCTTCGAGATCTGTGTCCTTCTGTTGACTTAATAAATGCTGAAAGGTTGAGAAAATAGTTTGCACTTTTGTAAGACGATTATACAGCTATACCTAGAAAATGTCTTTGAATTAGAGCTACTGCTTTCGCATTTTGATTTGGAATGTCTGTGAATCAGAATAGCCTATTTTGAAGCTGCATAATCAATGCTTTATAATTCAAATACATTTCTTGAGTCACTGTTGTTGTTTTTAAGAATATTTAGAATAATTTTTTTTTTTTTAGTTACTTCATTTTCCCCTCAACTTCTCTTTGAAAACATGCATTCTCCACCTGAGTCCGGGCTTTCCACCGTTTGACATCTTCTTCCAACAGCTTTTTCTCCGCCTGCAACATTCCACTTTTCTCACTCAGTTCAGCATTAGACTCCTGCAGAGGTAGAATGTCTGCCTCAAGCTTGCGTACCTGAAAAAAAAACAACAGGAGAACTCTCCAGATCTTTTGAAACTGAAGGAAATAGAATATGGTAGGCCTTGAACAAGGATAGTAAAGAGGGCCAGAGAGAGCAAAATCAACCCTCAAGAAGCCTGATAAAGCTTCTTTTCCAACTCTCTGCCTTTCAGTGGCCAGCCGGGGGCAGGGAGAAGGACACGGAGCAAGAGCAGGGGATAATCCTACAGAGAGGAAAAAAGTACACGTACAACTTCACAATCTTAGATTCTCACTCTTTGTACTCTGATACAGGAAACAGATTATTAATTACATGTTAGAAGCCAAGCAACACTGCACTGGATTCCATTCCACTGGTGCGCAGAAACATGAAGAGACAATATCTTCCCTTTAAACTCCTAATAAAGCTGTGGTCTGCTTTATACCTATTCCTCTGCCACTTAAATTTATCTGCTGATAATATATCCCTGTTACTGGTATACATCTAGGCAAGGATAAAACCTGATTCATTTAAATGAAACTGAACTTAAAACTTTCCAGTGTTCTAGGTGGACCTATGTCTTCTAAAATTCTAAAGGGAAAAACTTCCCCATTTGTGTATGACATACAGGAATAACGACACTCTAAATCATGTACTTATTGTAATTAGCAATAATATATCCAGACACTAACTCATCAGCTTGAATATCTAAAAAATTTACATGAACTTCAGCACTAACCTTTGCTTGAATTTGTTGTAGCTCTTGTTCTAGCCTCTCCTTCTCTTCTCTTAGCATCTTGTTGGTCTCTATCAGGACATTCATGGTCTCAGTTTTTTTCATTAATTCTTCATGCTGTGCAATGGTTTTTGCTGTTACCTTTTGAGAAGATTTAACTCAATCATTTGTTTTGCTTGCACGTGCATATATACTTATCTGGATCTGGTGTAACACCACCTTGGAAAGCTAGTCTGGCCTTCATTATCTCACGTACATCAAAACAAGTAAATATCACTTAAGAAATGGGGGATAGGGAAAAAAATTGAGAGAAAGTATCTTTATTTTCCCTATTTATCCAATTTTGGAATTGTCACACTGCTTCACAGGACTCAGAAAAAGATTCTCCACTTGGCGATATAGCAACCCAGTTTAAAAGCTCCCAATTCTTCCAAAATTTCATTTCCGGGTACAGGCGGCAAAGATAAAGACCAGAAGATACAGAACAGCCCTCTCTACTTCTTGAATTCATAAGCAATAATACCCAACCATACCTGCACCTTCTCCCTCTCAGCATTGAGACTGTCTTGCAGCTCCTGGAGTTCCCTTTCCAGGTGCTCCACCCTCTGACGATAACGCAAACTCTCCACCTGGGCCACCTCAAATCTAGTTTCTGCAATCTCCTTTTCTCGACGTATAAATCTGCAGTGCAAAAATAAACAATACATCATGTCAATGAAAATGCAAGACAAAACATTTTAAGTTGAAGGATCTTTTATCTGTAGGTCTACTGAGTATAGAAATTGGTTCACAAAGATAAAAAAATCCTAGATAAATCCTCTTGAAAATCTACATAAACCCGCCAAAAAACACAATGAGAAAAAAATCACCTCTATGAAACTTTCTTGCCAATCACATTTGCTAAAATTTGATTTAGTTTCCTGTCGTAATTGACTCACAGTTTTTTCCTACAAGTAGAAAGAAATCTCCTGTATTGTTACTGATGTAGTACAACCACCTACTGCCTAGCAAAAAAGTGCTAAAATATTATATGTTATCAATCACAGAATACCAGATTGGAAGGAACCTCAAGGGAAATATAGAATACCATGTTGAAAGGGACCTTCAAATATAAAGTAATACAGAAATATTAAATTTGGCAACTCATTTGCACTCACTGAGGGAAGGAGCCCAGAGATAAATTTACCTAAGAATTTCTAAGATCTGTTCCTGGGATTTGCCTTCTTCATTGAGAGAAACATTTACTGCAGTTGGCATGGCTTCTTTCATAGAAGTCACCATCTTATCACTCAGACTTTCCAACTGTTCGTGTAATAATCTATTTTGTTTTTCCAAATCTTCACAGCGGGATGCAAGTTTTGAAGCTTCATCCTACAACAAAATTGTTCAGCAGATGTGAAGCCTGTGGCTGAATTTCTGTTAATTAAAAAAAACAGAACACTAAACCCGTAAGAACAATCATACCTTGATCATTCTCTCTCTCTCTTCCCAGGAGGCTTTGAATTCTAACAATTCAGACTCGGCTTTCTGAGCAGCTTCCTCTAGTTGCTGCCTTACCGCTGTGTTCTTGGAAACTTGGTCTTTAATAGCCTGTAATGCTTCAACATCAGCAGCATGAAGCATTAATTCCCGTTCATATTTATTTTGAGCTTCAGAAGCCATCTTTGCCTGAAAAAAAAATATATAAAAAGACTTTATTACCTTTAATGTTATATTTTTTATATGTACAAAGAAATAACCCCAGACCAGCTTAGAATGTTTCCCTTAAATTATTAAGAAAAATTCGAATTTGAAATAGGTCTTTAGGTGGCCAGAGGTAGCAATTCACTAAAACCACTTAATTACACTCCCTGATCAATTTTTTTACGCAACGAAACAGACCACAGAAACAGTTATCCACTGCATCTTCTGTTTTCTTAAATGTGAGACAAACTGTGCTTGCAGCGCAACTTCGTGTTCAAAGTCAGTTTAGTTCATATTACTACTTTCATCAGGTAGAAAAACAAAGCATTAAATAAGCAGCTGTTCACAAAATAAAGAATGTGCTCTTTCAGCACTTCTCTTGTTTCCAAAAGTCTCTGATTAGCAGTACTACCTTTAAAAAATGTTTTTAGTTCAACTGAGAAACTATCAGTCATTTAAAAAAAAAACAACTATCAGAAGTTTACTACCTCTAGCTAAAATAGCCAAATACTACAAATACTACAAATACAAATACTGCCATACTTGTTCCTGGCAGTCACGTCTGGCTTGCTGTTCATTATTTAAAGCTGTGCTGGCTCTCTGAAGAGCTTCCTGAACTTCCGACTGCACGGTTGACAGACTCTTCTTTAGTTCTGATAGCTACAGTGATGGGGGAGGGAGAAGAAGAAAAACAAAACAAAACAAAACAAAACAAAACAAGAATAAAACCAACAGTAAACAGCAAAGTATTTTACAGAGTACTGAACACAGCAAGGATTTGAATACAGACCATCAAAAACAATGTAGAACCAAAGAGTGGTTATTTTATTATTTTTCGATTAAAATTAGTATTTTTTTAAGAAAGGGAAATACTTTCAAGATTTTTGACTTAATAATATACAGAACTCTTTCCTGGTAAAAATATATTGCTGTTATTTCAGAGTTGGGCCTGCAGCAATGCTAGCTGCAGTCATCTTGTTTCTTTCAACCTCAATAAAAGCCCAGATATAAACCAGACAAAATAAGGGCATTGCCCACTGTGACTTTGAAAGATGTGCATACTACAAAACTGGTATTGGCTCATGTTTGAAAAAAGGTTTTCTGAAACCTTTCTCGCAGGCTTTTACTCATGTTTTTTCTACAGACTGCTCAAAGTTCAGCAAGACAGTGACAGCTTTAAATACACAATCACCCTAATGAAGTGGTAGGATAATGTACTACTCATCCTTACAAACCTCTCACAAATTTAGTTAGCCTCTTGAACATTCTAAAAGATTTAGTTTGTGACACTACAGTACTGTGGGAAAAAAAAAACAGTTTATGGAATTATGTAAAAGCACATTCTTGTGGACTCCATTCTTGTGAGTTTAAAGGCTGGGGGCATTAAGTGCATACCTGTTGTTCCATACTCTCCACAGCTTTACGCTTCTCCTCTTGCAGTTCTTGCTTTTCTTTCTCTGACTCCATCAGGTTCTTTTCTAGCTGTGCTTGATACTCTGAAGACTCCTTCAGACGAGCTTCAACTGTTGCACGAACTTCCTCTGTCACCTTCATTAAAATCCGTAAGAGATCAATATTTTTTCCTTTAAATATGATAGTCTGATATAAACCCAGTGTTTTATTAACAATTTAAAATCAGAATAGCTATTCTCAGCATCTCATTTAGAACAACAACACCGAAGATTTGGAGAACCATGAATAACATTGATTTTTTCCCCCTTCCCCCATTTCCTCTATTCAAAGCTGTAATACCCCATGAAGTACACCCAAAAGGAGTTTAAGGTGACTGCAGTCAAATCTGCAGTAGCCAGGGTATCTCTATTACACACTAGAATCTGTAATATTGTTAAAGCATACCGAGCCACAATGAAATTTTTACAGTAACAGAGACAGTCAGAGAACTTGGATACTAGACAAACAGCACTCCGCTGTCTAGTGACACTTCATTTTTGGCGGACAATAAGAATTCTTTTCCCCAACCTATTTTATTTTGGTATGCTGAGCGACTTGGAAAAAGAGCCTTCATTCTGTATTATCTTGGTGGAATGTATGAGAGATTGGAAGGTCGTTCTCAAGCTTTTCCCATGAATACCACATACGGAGTGTTCCTTGTTATCAGTAAGGTCATCAGCAATGCAAGAAGGTATGAATTTAACTGCTTTTGATTGAGAGCTACATAATATTTTTAACCATTGATTACAGGGTTATAACAAGCAAGAGTTTTAAAAAGTCCAATCCCCTATTTCGAAGGCGGACGTTGGCAGAATTCAGCTTTGAGTAAAATTTACAATCCAGCATTTTAAAACCATGGTGCAAAAAGGTATAGCGTTTTCATGATTAAAAGCTTTCTAAAATATGGTCTAACTACATTATATTATGTCTTTTAAACTGACCAGCTTTTTTGTAATTCCTTTAAGTCCTACAGACTGTACTGTAGTACAAAAAAAAAAAAACAAACCACCAAAAAAACCCAAACCCTTTCATTTTGTTTCTTGTTTTTCTCTGACAAACAATGGTAACTACTTACTTGTTTTTCCTTATTAAGAGATTCCTCTAGACTAAGAACCATGGCTCTGTATTGTTCCACATTACTAGAACTAGTCTTGAGTCTCTCTCTCAGGTCATTAACTTGTTCATCAGCTTGTCTTAGTCGACTTACAAGATCATCCACATTTTCATTTGTACTAGGTTGACCTATAGTATTAGAATACATTCATTAACTGATGAAGTTTAATTCAGTTTTTTAAACCATTGTTCTGTTAAAAACTAAAATCTTGTAACATGAAAAAAAATATCACTGCCACAAAGCTTCTCTAAATTAAATTATCAGCCTTAACCACAACAGTGGCTTACAATAAAATTGGCTATTTAAAAATAAGGAACCAGTTCTTTCAAGTAATAAGGGATCCATTAATAAAAGTTTTGCTTTATTTTTCCCCTTTGTCAAAGGATGCTTGGACATGAATTTCACTTTAGTAAATAATCCTGGTTATCATTTGTTTTAATACGCGACTGTAATAATGATGTTTGTTATTTAGTGTACTTTCCTCCTAATTCTAAATTATTATGAATTTTACCATTCTACAGACAGAAATATTTAACATAAAGAGAAATTCAATGTAGAAAAACATCTTACCTTTCCCCGGAGCCCTCTGTGATGACTGAGATGTTAACTGAGCCTCCGTATTGTTAAGCTGCTGTTTCAACATCACGGTTTCCTTCTGGGCATTCTTTAAAAGTTCCTTTGTGTTAATGTGACGGTTTGTCTCAGTCTCGAGTTGCCTCTTAAGATCAAGGATATGAACCTGAAAACGCAAGGTTCTTAAAGTTGTAATTATTCACAAATGGCACAAATGTTTGTAAGTTTCACAGATGAAAATCAATGCACTAAGCCATAAAACTGTGGCTTTATTTTCACTGAAATAAGTTTAGGTTATTTATACTTACCTCTTGATTTTTGGTAAGGGAATGTCTTTGTTCCACCTCACTTTCTAGTTTCTTCTTCAGCTGAGATATTTCACGCTCTAGCTTTTCTATCTGATTATTGAGCCTTTGTTTTGTATCTGTCTCAGACTTCTCCAGTATTCCCTGATAAAAGACACAATAATACACAATGCTTACAATACACTTAAGTAATCTATATAATAATTACTGCAGGGAGCAAACAACAGTAGGCAGATAAAGAAAATTACAAAAAGTAGCACTTAAAATCTATGATTTAATAATACTGTTAGTATTGTTAGGAAAAAAAAATCTATTACACATGCAACGTAATTCCTAGGGTTAAAGCAACCCAAAAGGTCTAGTGCAGAAACAGAATTCCGTCACATGATAAAATGTGCAACCTTAAGTATTTATACTCTGAGAGTCAATATACAATAAAAAATACAAAAGTATAAATACACCCTAACATACTAGAAAACTAAACTACCAAGGCAGCAACTAGTAGATTTTGCTGTTATAAAAATTCATATATAGACTTTTTAATTTAATTTTGGTTCCATGTTTATTTCCATTTTATTGTGAAAACCCTTCTCAACAACTCAAAATTTTCAGGACGTTGCCCAAGTAAATAGCAGAGTATCATATTGTAAGACAGGAGTAACAAATTTGCTTAAACAAGTATCTCAAGTATTTTATGTTCAGTGGCAATTGGAAACAAAAATAATCCCCCAAACCCCCCCACAAAAACAACAACAACAAAATAATTACCCAATCCCATGACTGTTTTATTAGATTTCTAGGGGCATTTATTGAAAACTCTGAAAGACAGACAAAAAACTTGCACATGAGAATAATGCCACATACCTGAATAGCTCTCAAATTAGCAAGCAGCAAGTTCTGTCCTCTTTGTTCAACTAAGAGAGAGTCACGTTGCTGAGTCAAACGCACATCTGACATCTTCAAGATATCTTTCTCTTTTTTCAAGTTTTCTGCTCTCACCTTTAAGACAGCAAACTATTATAAGCACTTTGTTATCAATCCCAAATCTGTCCATTAATCTTATGATTAGTTAATACTAATTAAAAAAAAAAGCTTTAAGATTATAGATTGCAAATCAAAACTCATGCAAATTAAGCCAAGAAGAGTGAGAACACAACAGTGTGACTAATCACATTGTCTTCCTCTGTAAATTGAAACACCCTTGGAGTGTTCTTACATCTTCAAGTAGTACTTGAGGCATTTTGCAGAATGTTACAAGTATATAAACCAAATATACAAGCACACAAGCTTTTACAAATTTAATAGCTAATGCACTCAAAAAGCCACACATTCAAGTTTCTGACAGCTTTCAAGATAGTCATAAGAAAAACTCTAGTCCTAACTTGGAATATTTAGCAGCATAACACACTGTACTACTAACCTCTGCCACTGCCAGTTTTTCATTAGCTCCCCTCAGGTCTTGAGTCATAGTGTTAATTATCTGCTCCTGCTTCTGAGTTGTTGCTGTGAGTTTCTGGTTTCTTTCATGCAGAGATGTTATTTCTCGACGATAGCCTTCAACATTATCCTGCAGCATTTCATAACTTCACAAGGAACAACAAAGCAAAGTATGTTTGCCACATTAAATTGCTTGATCTTAATTGCAAAAAGCATATGTACACAGCTACATTTTGCGCTCTTGTGCATCAGTTTTCACATATGTGGCTCACTCAACTAGAAGACGTATTCTTGATCCTATCTTAACTATTTCCTTTATGTTCTTTAACAGAATAGATAAATACTAAATTGGCAACTCTTCTTAAGGAAATGGTATCAGGCAGTCAACATGATCCCATCGACAAAGAACACGTACATAAGGTAATGAAAAAAAAATAGCTGATTTACCGCTTGGAAGCAAACTCCAGCTGTGTAGATATCTTTGCATTTTGTGACCTCAAGTCCGTGACCTGCTCCTGAAGCTTTTCATTTTGTTCATTCAGCAACTTGTCATTCTCTGCCTTTTCTTTTTTATAGTTCTCAAAAACTTCCTGTAACTGCATCAAAGAACAGACATTAAAGTGCTTACATGAAAAACAAAAAACCCAACCCACAGTGATAGCTTTCTACAACATTTATTGGAAAATATACCTGCTTAAGTGCAGCCTTAGCCTCCAGAGTCTCCACTGACTCAGGCATTGACACTGAAGCAGGAGTTGACATGGCCTGAGGTAAATTTGAGCGCTTTGGAGTAGATGTAAGAGACATCTCCTCTGGTAACATACCTGAAGCTAAGAGGATATTGAAGATAAAGAGGATTTTAAAGGTAGTAATTGAATAAATGCTTGCCAAAGCAGAAGATAACATAACCACGCCAAAACATGGCTAAAACTAATACTGTATTGCTAGAAAAGTCTTGATTTCCTGAGCAATTCATTCTTTACACCTACAGTATGCTACCAGAACACACATAGTCACCACTACACGTCGGTTATTATGTTGCAAAAAGTTATTGTACTGTAAAAATAAAACCACATGCCTAAATCCAAATTCATGGGTTTTCCAGTGAGTAAAGGTAAAAGTTGAATACCGGATTAAGAGAAGTTAGTAGGTACCATTACAGTGCATTACTGAAAACTTGTAACAAATGACTGGGTTTTTTTCCTTCTTCAATGATGCAGAAACATGACTGCTTACCTTGCAAAGGAATGACAGCTCCTGTTGTCTGTGCCAACAGTATGCGGAACATATCCCGCTGACGAACTATAGACTCAACAAGCTGCA